GCTCTGGGGCTCCTATCACTCCCCACTCATCCACCGTCACGAACGAGCGAGGGTTAGGTGCCGGTCGGAAGGAGGTCGATCCAGCCCTGGGACGAGGCACCACCCAGGTCCTCCTGACTGGAAGACCGAGCAGCAGTGTGGTTAGGATGCAGGGCTTCGACCTCCAGGTGATACGGTGATAAGATGTGGATGACCTCTTCGACGGTGTTTTCTACCCTTTGGAGCACCCAATCGACCGAAGGACCGGGAGGAGCAAAGCTCGTCCTTCCGGTGCTGCATTCGTGGATCAATGTAGCCGGACATTCGCCAGTTGTGCTAGCTGCTAGATGTCCAATGATGTCCATATCATGTTCGAAACCATCCAAATCATGGTTTCGACATGTTTCGATACTTGCTGTTACAACCAGGTCCTGGGTGAAAGCTCTTGTTTTTCCATATGTTTTTCCTATTTGACCTGCCATCCGTCGCATCTCCATCGTCCCACTCAGTGAGGTCCGACCGCCGCAGAACCCGACGCTCAGCGTTTTGAATTTGCCCGAGAGCGCCTCGATCTTGGCCGACGACTTCGACAACGCAGCTGGCCCAGTGGTTGGCGAGAGAAGTATTCCAGTCAGTGCAGAGAGTCAAAACAGTTTGTCCCCACGATCCACCAAAATGTCGAACAAGCTCATGAAGCGCGCACGAGACTTGGCAGAGAGTGCATGGCATGCATGGTGCAACTTGCACAGGATGATGTTCAATGGGAGAAGTGTGGCGTTGTGATTTTCCCATTGACCATTCATGTCGATTTCATTTGAAGAAACTGGGACTTCCATATAATAGATTAATAGATTAATAGGCTTCATATCTGAGATACCATCCAAGGTCTACAAGGGAAACATGCGATTGCGTAAAGTGTTGGCAGACTCTCCACAAAAGAAAGGAGCATGTTGATGTCCCTGCAAAAGTTGACAACATCCAGTTCCTTGAGGGCAAGTGAGCAAAGACGGTAAGATCTGGCAGAGTTCCCTTATCGAAAAGCACCTTTGTGGGGATGACCTGTGCTGGTGTCCCCCAAATTAGAGATCAATATGGTGATCAATATGGTATTCCATAATCACTACAAATCGGCGCCTCCCCACGGTTTGGAGCTTTGAGGACCCCGGTTAACCTTCACTATTGACACTGACATGTCTTCACTGATGGTTGGATTCGTACCTCAATTACTTGCCGTAATTGCAACCATGAGCCACCCAGTTGCTAGGGCACCTCCATCTGTCTCATTGTCAGGAGAGGCCACGGCAAACATGGAAGAAGAACTGGATGCTGACACGTGGCCGCGACGTTGAAGTCGTTGCGACCATCCGCACATGATTTCACGTTACTTGCGACAATCACCATGAGTGGACCCTATAGACGTGTTCCCTTTTTCTGGATCTGGAGAACACATGGCATCAGAGTAGAGCCTTTCTGAACTTGATATAACATGCATGGGCAGCAAAGACGGGTACAATTATCCGCTAAGGAGTATAGGTAGAGAAACAACTTCCATATATCAAGGAGAAGCAGGCTGTGGATCCACTTAAAGACGCAGTGCAACACAGGGTTTCTTCTTTCCCTGTTCGTTGGGCTTTATGCAATGACTTTTGACAGCACAAGCTGCGACGAAACGACCATGTCCAGACTTTGACCTGCTCTTGAGTGTGACACACAGGTCGAAGAATCAACTCCTTTCCAAAGGGCCCGAAGAATCAGCTGCGCCATTTGCAGATGTTTTAAACAATCCCAAAGTGTCGATGGGTCGATTTGGTGTTTGATTCGACCGGCCGTTGGAGTTCTCATCTGGGTGTCGTTGGTGTCGTTGCCGAAGCCCCGCCACCGAGTGCATATTTCGATGCCGGTCCCATTGGTCCTTCCAGATGGGATGGGATTTCCCTACCAAACGATCGACACAGTCAGGAAGCTTCCAGGGATTGGAGAAGAGCATATTAAATCTTTAACAGAAAGAATGCGTGCTGCATTCGTGAATTGATCAACCCTGAAATACAAAATCAGATCATATCAGATCCAATTTTGTGAAGGATGAACAGAATAGGACAAGCTTCAGGGGATGTGAATAACAAAGATGCAAACAAATCCTGCACAAAAATATCCAACACTCTGCAATTTCGTGTTTGGTTGTTTGCAGATGGTTGTTTTTTAAGTCATATACAACACCGATCTGCTGACAATATGGAACAACTATACGATGTGTAATGATATTTTGTGTGTACAGTATTGTTGTTCTGCTTGCATTTGTTTCAATATATTCCAAACAACAGTATTGCATTCTGTGCTTCTGGATGCTTTTGGTTCATATCCTTTGTTCAATGGATTTGGTCTGTAGTTGTAGTATATATATATATATAATTATATGGAATCCACCAAATTCCAGTCTGAGGGCCACAGAACTGCTCTCCCGAACCGAGATCTTTTCAGCAGCACAGCCCACAGAGCTGCTGGCCCCATCCCGCGAGGCTTTCGGAGCCCCGCAGCGCATCCCAGGGGAAACTCCACTCATTTGTAAGCTACGAACGGAACAAGTGCATCGCTACTAGCAACAAGTGCCTTACTAATAGTAACAATGTATGCTAAGTAGAAACAATACGTTTTTTTGTTTTGTTTCGTTTATTCGTTGGTTCTTCCCGAGTTGAGCTCTTTCCACCACCGATGTGACCGATGTGACCGATGTTCTGTCGGGTTCTGAACGGGTTCACCGGGGATCTCAGGATTCGCTGGAATCCGCACTTCAGCTCAGAGAAGAATGGAATCTTCCAGAAGAGAGGCGAGAGCTCCGAGAGGTGGTCAAGCCCTCACCCACCGAGCCGGAAACGCCGTGGGAACGAACGGAAGAGAAGCAAACGTACGATGTGGTTGGCCACAATGGGGGGGGTGATGTTCCGTGTCTCGTTGATTCTCGTGGATTCTTCCCACGCCACATGACAACACCATAGCTTTTGACTCAAAGCCGCACTATGGCCCCTCAAATCCAGGCTGGTTCTGCTGTTCTACCGCGTCGCTGAAGCATGCAATCGGGGAATTGGGCATGGGTAGAAATCTGGATGACTGGATTCTAGTGATTCTAGTCTTCAGCATGTATCCAGCGAGCTCTCCATCTTTGAACCCAGAAGCCTATCAGACTTATATATTCCATAGAATTCTGTAGTCAAGGTCAGCACTATCAACTTCAATGAGAATCACCTGTGGCTTCCATTTTATGATTGCTTCCGGTGAAAGCTTTCCGATCCCAACATATCAAGCTTTCCGATCCCAACATGTCCAAGCCGTCGGAATCTCAAATTCCCCCTTTTATCGCTACTAGGTTGGAGGCCATCATTGCTAGTAGGTTGGAGGCCATCGCTCTTAGGTTGAAGGCCATCGCTAATTCACAGTTGTTCTTCACCTGGGAAGGTTGAAGGAGCTGAAGCGCTTGCAACGACGCATGTCGGTTGGAAGCATCGCGCTCAAGCCCACGCAGCCCAAGAGGTGCGTGAAACGTCCGGCACCTCGCAGCCCGTCTCGGCCATGCGACCAACACCATGTGGAAGCAGTAGCTGGGGTGTCAACATGAGAACAACCTGATTGAATCTGGGCCTGGAAGACTTTTGAGGGTCCGTAATTGTTCAGAGGTTGAGGCTGCTGTGCTTGGCAGTTCTTCGGGCCACCTTAGATCTCGTGAGAACGTCCACTGGGTCACCGAGATCTCGACCGAGACGTCCGGGACGTGATCTCGCGTGGGTGTTTCGACGTGGAGAGGCAGTACTTGCTACACACGGAGATGAGCGAGGCGCCCATCTTCGTGACCCATCCGAATTCCTGGAAGCGCCGCCCGGCGGGCTTGGCGCCATGGTGGCGGGAGGTGGCGGGAGGTTGAGGGATCGATCTCCCCGCCCGTTTTCGGTACGGGGTTCAGGTCAGAAGACTGGGGCGATGTTCAACAATCCTGTTTAGGAAGACCATTGTTCCGTTGTTCATTAATTCAATAAACATCAATGTCAATCTTCCACTAGGGGCGTACCCGAGCTCCAATCAGTTCCAAACAAGGAATACTTGCCTATAGATTGCGGGAGGCTCTATGATATTTTAATGGTTTAGATGTTTTGAGGGTTATGTATATAAATAAATGGATTGTTGAGGAATTGTATTGGAACAAGCAGAGTAAAGATGATTGCTTGACGTATCTTCGAGGCAGCTCGTTCTTGCTAAGGAAGTTGTTGGGATTGCTTGGCAGTCATCGCCATCCTCTTCGAGATCAGTGTGGCACCACTATTGTTGTATCGCATGGATGACTCCGCTCGCCGTGTGGCAGATTCGCTACAGTGGATCACCACCATCTTTTGGGTCTTCGACATTCCAGCAACTTTCTTCACAGCAACTTATGTCAATGACATTCTGTGCTTTCGCCTTGGAGAGATTGCCAGGGCATATCTCCGCAGCTGGTTCCTCTTCGACGTGCTCATGTCCACTTGGCTTTGAAGGAATCGAACCATACTTCTGTGGAGTCAGAATGCTCAGTGATGCAACAGGTGTTCCTTCTTGGTGATAGGGAAGACTGAAACAAAGTGGTTTCACACAAACTTGGGGTGCACTTGGACACACCACAGAAATGCTCATGGCCTATTTAATTCATATCCCAAACACAAAAGCTCAGTCAAGGCACCAAGAAGCTTGAAGGATGCGACCAAAAGGTTCCAAACGGGACAAAGTGAGCAAAGGACCTCAATTGAATGCAATATTTCTTCGGGCACGAATGGAATGGACACTCTTTGTGTGCACTTCAGCAATACTCCACCAATCTTGGACAAACTTTTGCCCCTGCGCGGACCCAGCTAGCAACCATGAACAGCAGCGAAGTAGATTTGCCCCATTATGTTTGGCCACAATCATATATGCATCGACTAAGGTGACTAAGGGCTATATTGATATTTTATATTATTTTATAATATATACAGCCATGGTTTGTGTGCGGCAATTATTCTCAGGTTGGTGCCTGACCTCATCGTCGTCCTGCTTCCTGACATGGCGGACGGCCCCGCGGGCGTCTTTCGCATGGCGCGTGCGCGGCGTGTGCTGCGGCTCTTCCGCTTTGTGCAAATTGTGAGATTGTGGAAGACGCTTCAAGCATTCATGTCTTCTTTGGAGAAGCTCGGCCTGCCTCAGACAGAGGCAACATAAATCATAATTACATTCTGCCATGGGCCCCACTCCGGGCTCAAACGGAAGGTTTTTTTTCAATAACCTACGTAGTTATTCTGAGAACAACCCGTAGTTTTACAGGGTATATCAAAAACCAGGTTTTTGAATGTGTCCAATGTCGGCTGCCGCATCAGGTGATGAAAAATGCCTGGATGGAGCCATTTTGGCTGGGGGGGTGGTAAGGCAGCATGAAACTATAACGCTGCCAAAAGGAGAAGTTTTGATTTATATATTCGATATATAAATCATGTCCACGCAGTTGCCAAAAAAAAGGCGCTCATGAGTATCCATGCATGCTGTTAGAAAGTCTCCAACCTCACTGGTTCAGAATCTCTTTGCCACCCGTGGAACTCCCAAGCGCGGATGTTCTTTTCCACTCCGTGGGCTGGACAGTCAATGACAATCGGTCCGGACACCGGGAGGGAAGAGGAGATCAAGACTTGACAAGAACTGGTGATCTTGTGTCTTAGCTTTAGCCCATGATTTGTCGCAGGACCAGGGTATTTGCGGCCTGCAGTCATTTTGGATCAATTCTTTGATCATTTGGGACATTGGTTCCCCCTTTTTGGTGGGCCTGTCACCCCTATACCATGCCTCGAGCCGATGGCACAGCCGAGAAACCCAAGTGTGAGATTCGAAACATCTACAAGGAGTGGAAAGCTTCTCATGCAGTACGGATGGTGGCTGTGAAAGCGGATCGGCTGCTTGTGTCCGCCAAAGGTCCGGAGGAGGGTCAGGAGCGTCAAGTGAAGATGTGCATCAAGGATGCCGCCAGGAACAAGTTTGTGCTAACCCCGGTGTTGGCTTTGATGGCAGACCACCCATGCCACCCGTTGCCTTCCATCAAGGAGCTTGCCCGGGAGAAACATGGAAAACACTTTGGAAACATATTATCTATGTGTTTTTTGTCAGTTTGTTTCAGTTGGGGATGTTGCAGCGGGGAAGGTTT